TCACGCGGCCCCAAAATGGCGGGTTCCCGCCGAGCCTGAGGGCAGCCCCCCCGGAATGCGCCTTTCCAGCCCCAAAATTGCACTTTTTACCAGAAAATACGATTTTAGCCCATCACCTAAATCCCCTTTCACGACGTTCGACCCCAAAATCGCTATTTTTTGCCTCGATTAGGTAATTTTCCTCCTTAAAATGAGGGGATTTGCCTTAAAATAGGGGGGTTCGCCGCAAAATGAGGGCTTTCATCCCCATCTCCTTCTCCAAGCGGTATTTTTAAGCTTAAAAATGGCTTTTTTTACCCCAAATCCGCGGCGTCCTGCTCCTCCGGCGTGTTCAGCCCCAGAATAACGATTTTTGTCCCCAAAAAAAGGATTTTGCACCCCTCAAGACGTTATTTTGGCTACCAAAGAGGCGCTTTCCCCGCTCAAAATCGGGGGTTTATACCCTGTAATAAATTTTTTTGCCCCCAAATCGGGGCGTGCCGCCTCCAGCGTGTTCGGCCCCAAAATGGGGATTTTCTGCCAAAAAAAAAAGAGTTTCTGAGCCGAAAACGAGCTTTTTCAGCCCCAAAATAGGGGCGTGCCGCCTCTCATCAGGCGCTTGTGGCCCCAAAATGGAAGTTTTTCGCCCCAAAACCGGGGTCTTTGTGCCTGAAAATGGGGCTTTTCTTTCCCAGACGTGAAATAAGGTTTGGGGGTAAAAAAAAATGAAGGTTTTTAAGCCCCAAAATTAAGGGGTTTGGCCTCAATTGGGATTTCCGGCCCCAAGATGGAGGTTTTTGGCCTCGAAATAAGAGCTTTGTTCCCTGAAATGGAGTTTTCAGCCCTAACATGAGGGATTTTGCCTCCCCTCCCGACTTTCTGGCCTGATATAGAGGTTTTTAGACCTAAAATAAGATTTTTTTTTAACCTCAAAACTTGGATTCTTTTCAGCATTAAAATGCAGCTCTCTGCCCCTAGAAGGGTTTTCCAGCCCCAAAATGGAGGTTTTCAGCCTCAGAGTAAGATCTTTGTTCCCTGAAATGTCATTCTCAGCCCCCAGATATCTTTTTTCCAGCCCCAAAATAGGGTTTTAGGACCCAAAAAGAGATTTTCAGCCCCCAATAGGATTTTTTAGTTGCAAGTGGACTTTTTTCACAGCTAAAATAGGGGGGTTTGGCCCCCAAAATGGAGGTTTCCAGCCCCAAAATGGAGGTCCTCGGCTCAAGAATATGATCTTTGTGCTCCCAAATGCCATTTTTCTGCCACAAAGTAAGGGCTTTTGCTCCAAATTTGATACTTTTTAACCCCAAAGTAGGGACGTTTTGCTGCACAATGGCAATTTCGGCCCCAAAATGGATGGTTTTGGCCCCAGAACAGGATTTTACTATGCCAGAATATGGGGGTTTTGCTGCATAATAGGACTTTCCCGCCCCTAAAGATTTTTTTCAGCCGCAAAAAGAATTTTTTCCGTACCAAAATCTGGCTTTCCCCACCCAAATGGCGATTTCGGTCTCAAAATGGACGTTTGCAGCCTCAGAATAGGATCTTTGTTTCTCCAGACGGAGTTTTCAGCCCCCAAAATGGAGGTTTTCAGCCCCAGAATAGGAGCTTTGTTCTCCAGAATGTCTAAAAAAGAGGCTTTTCAACATCAGAAAAACCCTTTTTCGGCTCCGGAATGGAATTTTTAGACCCATAATTGCGGTTTTTATCCCCAAAACAGCATCGTGCTATTGCAGAATTACTGATTTTTCGGCAGCGCCAATGTAGAGGCTTTTTGTTCTAAAACCCCACATTTCAGTGCCAAACCAGAGAATTTTCAGCCCCGGAATTGGTTCTTTTTCCGCCAAAATGGACTTTTCACCCCAGAATTCAATTTTTTTAGCCATGAAATCCCCTTTTCCTGCTCTGAAATGGGATTTATTTCAAAGTAATTGCAGAATGCCAAAAATCGCTGGGTTTAACTGCCCATAAATGCAGGTTTACAGTCTCCCAAATGATGTTTTTTTTTAACCCAAATCAGCATTTTTTAACCCATTTCTCCACTTTCAGCCCCAAATTGCCGTGTTTTGGCCTGTTTTCACCCACAGGGTGTGGTCCTGTCCCCCCCTCCCA